TCGGGGCAATTTCGACATGAAAGTAAGCGTCCTTCAGGTCGATGGTTGTAAACCAATCGCCCGGCCGCACCAGCTCCAACACCTGTTTCATAGTCAGCATGTGGAATTTTCTGCATGTAATGTGCCGGTTCAGGCCTCGAAGATCCAAAATGGGCCTGAATTCTCCTGTTTTCTTGGGAACCAGAAAATACAGGGAATAATGCCCCTTCTCTCTGTCTTGAGGGTGCACCACAGACACCGCCTGTTTCTGCACCAGGGCCTGAACCTCTGCTGAGAGGAAACCTATCTCCTCCTGGGATGACAGATTTGCCTCTCTTATGCCTCTGAATGGAGGAGGGATGCTGTGGAACTGGAGTGAATAACCCAGCCTCAGTGTCCTGTCCATCCACTCTGTTAACACACAACTGTTTTTCCATTCCCCATAACATTGTGTTAGGGAATGTGCCATCAGCTGTGGAGCTGTAGCTATAAAGCTGTGATACTCCCTGGTGGCCCACTCCGCTGTCAAACCCTCCATAAAAGGAAGTTTGACCCATGGGGGGCTGACACAGAAAGGGCCGTTTTTCAATAATGCATTTTTCACCCAGAGAAAAAAATGGCCGATTTTCCACTGAGGTCCCTGAACGCCCCACAGCCCGCTCTCGCGAGAGCGCACGCTCCGCCGTAATGTTGTTTTCTCTCAATGAGAAAAAAAGCATTAACCGGAGTTTTTACACTCGGCGTGATGTGCTTTCTAACAACCTCACGCCGCCCATAATGCCCTTGTACCCGCATAGCATTCTGATGCTTCCTGCGGTTTATCACATGCGCGCACCCGCTGGTTGCTTCCTGTACTGGAATCACAACTGGGGTGGCGAAGGGGGAATCTGTACAGGCATTACCATGAAGTGTGGGATTGTGGAAAGGAATGACTCTCACAACGGAATAATTGCAATCATTTTTATTTATGCACACAGTGGATCATAAATATTGGAGTCAGGATTCATCCTCGCGTCCCGCTGCCCGTCAACTCCGAGCGGGCGGCGCACCCCAACCCGCAGTCCTCTGCTGACGCGGGTTCGGGGCAGGATTTCTCCGGGATCGCCCAGCTTGGCTTCGTGGAGCCCTCTGGCCAGGGGCGGACTGGCCATCTGTAGAATCTGGAGAACCACAGAACGGCCGGCCGTCAAGGTCCGTTGACGGCCGGCCGGCCCTTTAAAAAAAAAAAATAGTTTAACGTCATCATTTAAATTGCACTGACGGCCGACAGAGGGCGCTAATGCAGTTGTGTGGTTCTTATCTGTCAAATAATCACACACGAAGAAGAAAAAAGACCGGCCACACGAAGCGAAGGGATTAGACGCGCGCGGCAGACAGGGAGAATGAAAAAACATGGATACAAATCAAAGAAAACAAAAAGAAAAAGGTGGGGCCGAGAAGGCAAGAGAGAAAAAGGTGAAGTCACTCGCAGGTGAAGCATATCAATGTCGCAAATTGACAGACCTTTTTGGCAGCAGCGCTGCTACAAGCACTATCATCAGCAGCTTAGAACAAGTGCAAGATGATGAAGAGAATGATGAGGGCGCGAGTTCAGATATACAGCCAGCCTCCTGCGTTCATGATGAGGGACAGAGAGTTGAGCTGGTGGAAGAACCATCTCAACTGGCACATACAAGTGCAGAGCAAGAGCAAGAGGTGGGTGAGAATTATCCCTTGAACTCAGTGGCGTTTTCTCCTGGAGGCCAAGGGAAGCCAGGCTTCCCCTGTTTTTTGGATTGTAGTTATAATTTTAATAAATAAATAAAAACACTTTGTTTAGTTTCGGTAATTATTCTGCCGGCCCATCTCTCCCCCATTCTCATTGAGTCCCTCTAGATGTTATGATGAAACAGTATTGCACTCTCTGTTGCGAGAGGAGGCTAGCCAAAATTGGCTTCCCTTGTTGAAAAAAAATTGAGGGATTGACCAATCAGATGAGGCTCACTCATGCCTCACAATCCAATCAAATCGCATCAACTTCAGTTCGTACTGTAACTGTCATCACCACCCTTAAAAAGTAGTAAGCAACTGAAGCAATTGCAATTATGGAGGGTGGAGAATTTCATCAAAAAATAATTGTACTAAACTTCTGCTACAGCAGCAACTAAAAATGAAATCTGATGACAGGCCAATGCCAAACTGGAGCTGTGTACAGAGAGGAAAAAAGGAGCGAATCGGACGTAAAACTTTAAATAATAAACAGCGAATTTCTAACATTTGATATTTCATGTGGCCGGACTGGGTCAGTTTCCAGGGCTGAATTTTAGTCCCAGTCCGCCCCTGCCTCTGGCTGGACGATTGATCAAGAGAGGAGACAGGAGCTATGGGAGCCACAGCCCTGCGTCTGTCTCTCCTTCTCTCTTGCGGCTTTCACACCAGCGCTTTTCCCTTTCTAGCTCCGAGCGGGAGCTTTTCTGGTTCAGCTCCGGTTTCCCTTTTCTGCTCCGCTCTGTTCACACCGCCCAGCACCCGACTGGTGCTGCCACGCTGCTGCATCATGACGTCATCGTTTACATCGCTGATTTGCTCCCCAACGGCATTACGGCGCTCACAACAACAACAACAACAACAACAACAACGGGGAACTGCGTCGGTCGATGATCGTGTTGCTTTTAATCACACGAAGCCAGAATAAATTGAATAACGACTTCTCCAACCTTATGCTTTTCTCCAGAGTGCCGTGTGGTTCATTGTTTATTAATGTGTTTCTGCAACATTACCGACCGCTGCAGTGTTGGCTGCTCTTCCACGAGAGTTTATTCTCCTCCGTTAGCTCCCGGTTAGCTCACAATGCTGCGGCCGCTAAAGTATTCACTGTCCGACTCACACAAGCAGCTGATACATATCCCCAGTTCCCCTTAGCCTAAGTGAATGTGTGTCAGTCTGAATTGACGCTGTTTGGTAGGGCTGTGCAATTAATCGTATTTTAATCGCGATTACGATTATGGTTTGCGACGATTAGGAAAACAGCATAATTGACAAAATACGATTATTTTTGCTGGGTGCGCTTTCGCCCCTCCATAAAAGCCCACTCGGCCACGTGGGAGTGACATGTGTTGTGAGTGTTCAGCGCAAGCAATAGATGTCAGAACAAGAGCAGCAACTAGTTAAAAAGAAGGGTCGCGGGGAGATTCCCAGTCGATCGCGAGATGTGTCTAAAAATAGAACAACAATATTCTGTTTTATCGTTAATGTCCTGTAACATAATGTTCCCGTGCCAGAATAATGCACTTGAACGCATCAAAGCTTTGTGATTGGCCGGCCTCACCCCATGTGTCCGGGCGTGGCTGGTGAGCAGTGCACTAGTTCGCTGACGTTGTCCGTGTCAACAGCATGGATGGTCAACAGGAGTGACAGTCCACACACACACAAGACCGCAATTATGGCAGAAGCAAAAAAGCCCAAAATATATAATTTTCACTCCAAGTGGGAGGATCATTATTTTTGTATCTATTCCAATTCAAAGTCCATCTGTCTCATCTGCAATGCGAGCGTGACTTTATCGAAGAAGGGTGTATTACCGGCGTATTTTTATTATGATTCTACTTGTGATAGTCGGACACGACAACCTGTGCAGCCCATGTATTGATTCCATCCGATAGCTGCTATAATACAAAACAAAACGTCTGCCTCTCTCCACAATGATCAATAACAATGAACGGATGGTCAAAGTAAGGTACAAATAAACAGAATCACACGAAGCCTGGTTAGTGTTGCCTGAGTTTATAAAGTGTGTTTATAAGCACTCTGCTTGTAGGCAGGCATGACAGTCGACCCATGTTCAGGGGAGGAGGGTTTAGTATGAAGGGCCGTGTAGGCCAAAATTCAAACTCCCCTCGCACACACACTACTGAAAACATCTGGCCTTGCACACACACTACTGAAATACTCTCACATTCACTACTGAACACCTCACACACACTACTGAAAACATCTGGCCTTGCACACACTACTGAAATACTCTCACATTCACTACTGAACACCTCACACACACACTACTGAAAACATCTGGCCTTGCCACACACACTACTGAAATCCTCTCACATTCACTACTGAACACCTCACAACACACTACTGAAAACATCTGGCCTTGCACACATACTACTGAAATCCTCACACACACACTATGAAAACATCTGGCCTTGCACACATACTACTGAAATACTCTCACATTCACTACTGAACAACTCACACACACGCTACTGAAAATTAACGTCATACACACACTATTGAAATCCTCTCACATTCATTACTGAACACCTCGCACACACACTACTGAAAATTAACCTCACACACACACTACTGAAAAACATTTTACTGAAAGGTTCTCAGTAGGGAATGTGCATGTGTTTCACCTATGTGGTGTGAGGGGATTCTTGATGTAACGGAAGTCATTCTAATGTAACGGAAGTCATTCTAATGTAACGGAAGTCATCTGCTGGTGGTCTCTTTGCTAGCCCCCGTTAGCTTCATTAGCTCCAGGCTGCTACTCGGACGTGTTTGTTGTGTTGATGCCTGGTGGAGTATTCTTCATTGAAATATCGCACTTCTCTATGGCTCTGCGGTTCAAACAGACGTCTATGAATGCAGTTTATTCGGTAAGTGGAAATTCAAGCACTTTTATTTCTTACTTGTCTTTTTATTCAGCTAACAAGCGAGACGAAGCTACATCTGTGCTAACGATGCTATCCGTAGAATACAAGTTAAAACATAATGGAGAAGTGTAAAACATTAAGAAGGATTATACTGTAAAACATAAGGCTTCTCGGTGAGGTTGGTAAAATAAGGTCATGCTTGTACATTAGTTAGTTTGCTAGTTAGTTAACTGTATGCATTGTTATTGTTAATTTAAAATAGCTATGACTCGACGATGCGACAGCTAGCGTCACATTAGTGTTGAAGAGCAGAGTATGAGATTAACCTCACTATAAGATCTGTGTATCTGAAAAATATGAATCTCACATTTCCAGTTGGTTCCAGAAATAACGTTGACGTAGATATTGGCAATATGGTTTGTTGAGCTGGAGTTGATTGTTGAAGCTTACTGGTTAACGTTCATCATATTAAACGAACGAACCCAACGTTGTTGTTTTTATTAATATTATACCAATACTTACTTAGCATTTTTTCATCATTACACTGGAGAAACCGATTTATTGTGGCAGCAGAACGTGAACATGTAACTTAATGCCTGCATTTGAGGACGAAAAATAGCTCAGTCAATGCTTTAGGGACAAGGAAATGATTTGTTTAAATATTAGATATGACGTTATGTGTGCTTCTGTGACAATGAAGCTTATTCATTGCCATTACATTTGTTGAAGATGTTTGTCTTTTACCCTTACGTGTGTGTGGGCTTTGATATCCAGCACTTTTTTTTAAGGATAACAAAAAGATGATCACATGACATTTGCATGTAAAACAAGTCTGTGACCAACACATTGTTACTTTACATATACATCTGTTTGTTTAAAGTTTCCAGGTGATGCAGACAGACCAGAGGATGCTGACCACGAGAGACAGACCTATTCCTAACATCAGTGAACTTCAGCATGGACTCAAAGGTACAAAGACTCCTTTCATACTGTACAAAGAATCGAAGAAACGTTCTGGTTAAATAGATAAAGTAACAACTATAATCAGCTTTCACATTTCAATGTATTTAAGGCAATTATTATTTTACATTGTGGAGAATTGCTACCATTTGTCTCTACATATTGTCTGTAAAAGACGTGGTAAAAGTGGTTCTTGCAGTGAGACAACCGAGCAGTTGAATATTATTTTAATAAGATATGTTAATGTTGATTAACTGCAGACTGTTTCATTCATAATCTGATTATCTTTGTAGTACAAAGTGATGAATTAAAAAAACACATTAAAATTAAAAAAAATACATTATTTCTACAGCCGCTAAATAAACAAACCTTTCATAAATAACACACTTGCTCTGCAATAATATCATATGTTCTTGTCATTTCTGTTAGGAAAGGACCATACCTGAAGGACACAACTGCCTCACCGTTTTCTCAGAGGGGCAAGAAGAAAATGAAAAGCTGATTTCAGATTAAAGACCAATACAGGACATTCACTAAGAAACTACACTTTTATTGTGAACACAAAGTCAAACAGGACCATCATTTGTTTGTGACAGCTGAAGCCCAGTATGTGCTCACA